TCATCGTCCTCACCCGGCTCCTCCATTGCCCCCGTCCCCCTCCTCGATCAGATTCGTTCATACACATCTTCCCGTCCTCCCTCCTCGCTCTCCTCCCCCCCCCTTGTTGCCTCCTCCCCCTAGCAGGATGTTCGCAGGAATCCACAGAAGGGTAGCGGAGTCAACTCAGGAAGGGGAAGGAATTAACTCAGCGGGGATTCTGCTTCAACTCCGGAAGGGGACGGGCTGGAGGAGAGCGTCACTTGCAGGATATGGGGAGGCTGGGCTAATTCAGGAAGGGGGGGGCGTTAATTCCTGACGCTTCGCGTATCCCCACCAGGCGTTCCCACCTGGTGGGGATACGCGTTCCAACCATTCGCCAGGCGTTCCCCCCACAGGACGGGAAGACACTCCTACACCTGCAATGGCCTAGTGAATTCCGGCTGTCGCTCAAGGGAATGGACGGCGCACAGGACTCACAGTCACGGGCGCTTTTCCTCAGCCTCACCAGTCCGACAGAGGACCAGGTCGCCTCCCTCAGGCTTGTGTGGCCCCCAGAATTTGGTGGTCACATCCCCAGCAACGAGTGCGTCGTAATGGAGCTCAGGGAAGGCACAAGGTATCCCACCAACCAGGCCCTGGTATGGTGCGACTCCAAAGAGGCAGGGGAGCCTCTGGAACTCGGCAAGGAACCAAGTGCAGGCAACAAGGGAGAAGTCATGTTCCGACTTGACAGAGCGCCATCGAGGCTGCAGTACTGGAGAATCTACCAGGCCATCAGCGAGATCTACAAGCTGCAACAGGCATCGGACGAATTGGTGGGCTCTCCACTGGACATGATAACGTTCTACCTCAATCTGCGGACCACCCAACGGAGTGACAGGCTAAGGGCCAACGAAGTGAAGAATACGAGGGCGTGCAGCATTTCCCTCCTGGCAATGGCGAGGGCCACCATTGAGGGCAGAGGGCAGGGCCTACCGAGCGTAAAGGCGGTGGAAGATACGAGGCTGCAGCAGCACAGCAAGTCGCAAGCGGTCGCGCCGTTCACGGACGATGAGGTTGATGGATCTATCGGGCAGGTCCTCCAGCGAGTGCGCAACCTTCCTCCCGTCGGCAGCCTCAACGAGGCCGCCAGACGACACCGTCTAAACGACAACGCGACCAAAGCGCTGACCGCCACCATCCTGCACCACGTGACGATTGTGCATGGACCCCCAGGGACTGGCAAGACTCTGTTCACGGTGGCCACCATGGACGCATGGGCTAGTTCACTTTCCGCGAGGCAGTCGGTGGCTCCCACAGCTGGATCGAATACGGCAGCCGATCAGCCCGCTATTGGGCTCGGGATTGCGCACAAGGAGAACAGGCTGGCTGGTGAGACTGGCTTTCCCAACAGGCGTGTCAGGCTCGCGAAGGACGCCAGAGTGGCGCCGGAGATTGCGTCCCTGACCCCAGTGGGGCACTTTCAGAGGACCCATGTCCGCCCGCCCAAGCAGAACGGACCATCCAAGGAGCTCCAGTCCTTCCGCTCCCAGCTACTAAGCGACGCCAAGCTGGTTATCGCTACCCACGAGGCGGCTGAGTCGCTCAAGCTGGTACCAACAGCTTTGCTCATCATCGACGAGGCGGGACAGGCCCACGAACTCATGGCGGCAATGTCCCTCGTCAATGTCATACGCTCAGGAGGGTACCTACTACTGGTTGATGACCCCGGGCAGCTACCCCCCACGGTTCTCTCCAGGAAGGCGGCTGATAGGGGACTTTGCCTCTCCATATTCGACAAGCTGTACAATGCACTAGGCGGGGACAACCCAGCAGTGGCACAGCTGAACCTATGCTACCGCATGCATCCTCTCCTCCTTTCGTGGCCGAACGTGGCCTTCTACAACGAGGCTATTCGGACAGGGCTCACCAATCCCTTGGCGCAGAGGCCTATCGTGGAAGGACTGCCGCGGCAGCAGGTACGACCCTGGGACGAAGGGGGGCTCTGGGCGCTAGCTGAGTCGGCCAATGCCACCACAGGCGACGTGGAGACGTTACTACGGGACCTTCAACCCCCACCGCAGCCCTCTGAAGCAAGGCACCGGTTTCTCCTGGTCGACAACCCCTCAGTCGAGGTCACCTCCAATCTTTATTCTGGCTACGCTAACATCCCAGAGGCCGCGCAGACGGTGGACGTGGTGAGGGCCCTCATGCCTGCCATGGAAAAGGGGCCACAGTCCTGCTCGTGGTAGGCCACCAGCTTCAGTGCGCGGTGCTCGAGAGGGGTTGGCCCCAGTCAGGTCGCAGCATCATCGGCCCCCTCGGACAGGCTAGGAGCAGGGTTAGAGGAGATGGCAAAGGCGAATTCAAAGGGCCAGGCGACCCCCCTCTCCACCCCCGGGACCAACGAGGACACGAGAAGGTCTTCGAGCAATGGAGCTCCCAATCCAACGGAATCGGTTTACAACTCCAAGGGATATGCCAGGTTGTTGGGAAACACCTGGCCAGCGGCAGGCTCAGCATCTCCACCGTCGACTCCACAGCCAGGGCGGTGAGGCAGACATCGTGATCTACCTGACAACGCGGTCCAACTACTTCCACGACTGGGGTTTCATGGGCAATCCCAATAGGGTCAATGTCGCTATCACGCGTGCCAAGTCACACGTTATCATAATCGGTGATGGAAGAATGTTCGGCACGGCCACCGGATCGCACCTCAGGGAGCCCTCGGAACATGGGAGGATGGCCGGGCTCTGGATCCGCTTCCAAGAGGACGACCTGGGCAACCAGACCTCCCGACGCTGTGACGAGGGATTTGACCCCATCAAGGACCTGGAGTCGTGGATCCCAGCTGCTCCCACACATGACGGGGACGACAGTGTAGAAGGCCTGGGCGACGCCATCAGGAAGGCCAAGGCCACATTGGAAAGCTCTTTCACGGACCGCATCGCAGCGCCACTGGATGAGCAGTTTTCGTGGGCAAGGCTTGGGGCCGCCCTCTCGGACAGCATCCAGGCGCTAGTCGACGACCCACTCATGGGCATCCTGCTGCACACCATCTCTGGACTACACCCCCACCAGTGGCAAATGGGGGCCACGCCCAGGCAGCCAGGCAGTCTTGACAGGAAGGCATGGAGCCATCTGGGTTACTGCTTTGACCCGTAAGTCGGGATCGACGCGAGCAATCGGGCATGCAACCTGCCGTGGGCGGCCATCGTCTGGTTCCTCGGGCTCGGCGCGCCATGGAACGACAAGCAGTTTGGGGTCGCGTACGAGTCGCTCCCACCCC